AAATTATGCAAGACCTATATAATTGCGTGGCATTGCAATTATATTAGCATTCTATAAATTTTCACTTGTCAGAATGATGGAGTCTGCTTTGTTCTTATTTCAAATTTGCAGTATACAAATAGCAGCTAACTAGCTAGTATCAGCTATACAAATATTTGTTTTAACTTACAGCTTGTTCAACATAGAGTGAAATATTAAACTTAATAAAGAGTAAAAACTAACTTCAAGGAACTAAAAAGAACGAAATAATACTCACATAATAAAAGCGGGGACTTTAATTTTACACAGTATGTCTAAGCACTGACTTACACAGTATGTCTAAGACTAAGGAATATCACAAGGTTGAATGTATGCCTATTGCTCCTTGATCTTTATGTAGAAAAGGTGGCAGGGCAGTCTGAGCTTGCTTTTCTACAGATTGAAATTCTTGCTTGGCTCAATGAAGGAAACACTGACTTTATGCATGATCTCAGACAACATGCATTCACTATACACTTAGTCCAGAAGAAGTAAATTGCTCACAGCTAAGCAACTTCTTTAATTAATTGAAGACTTAGGACTTAGCAGTGAACTATAGCCATAGCAGCAAAAACAATAGATCTTACAGGTTGCAATAAAACTGGTCTTTCTAGACCTACATAGATGTCTGCACAAATAAAAATTTGGTTGACCCTGCAGGCCAACCCTGGAACTTCCCGCTAATTTCAAATGCAAAGCAACACAAATTTCACCAAATTATGAATGTCATAAACATTATGAAATATCGGAGTAATTTAAAAAATACAGTTTTTTCAAAATTTTTCGTTAACAATATCTCACGAACGAATCAACCGATTTTGACCGGACGAGCGGCGATCGACGTGGTTTTTCAAGGTTAAAAGCTGATTCGTTTTGGGAGTCGATTGGTACAGCTGTTTAAAAGTTATTCCAAAAAAAAAACAGGTTTACAAAATTTTTATTTTTGAGTTTTCTCAAAACATACCATTACAAATTAGTAAAAATCATAGGAAATCTAAGTTTGATGAAACACTTCGGAAATCCGTAAAAACGATAACTTTCCAATTTTTGAAAATTTTCAATTTTCTTAGCGGGAAGTTAAAAAGGGGCAAATTTTGTCAAAATAGTTTGATAAAAAGTGTCCCTAGTTAAATTGTGTTCAAAAATACTTAGCTATTGGAAGCCAGAAGGATCTAATAGCTTTCAATGTAATAGAATAGCGGTAGAAATATCTTGTTTACGCCAGAAGTACCCACACCAGCGTAGGGCCTCAAAATAAAAGGTGTGTTAAATCTGGTATTCTACTGTCAATTCACCTGACAAACATCACAATTAAATTATTAAAGGTAAATATTTCCAACAGTGGGAGATGCCTATATACAGTAGACTTCTCAATTGAAAAAATGTCTTACAATTTATCACTTTGTTTCAGTTATACTCTTTGAGTCTTTGGTTATTTATTCGTTTCCTCATTCTTCATATTATTATCTTGCAAAAGGCAAGCAAATTATTTTGCATGTTTATTACTGGTAAAGTAACCTCCAAAATTACAAGTACTTTTCCTATATTATCATTAAAATAGCATATAATGGTAATTCTTTATACTTGTTTATAAAGGAAACAAACAACAAAATACTGGATATGTATTCTTTTGAAGATAAATCTTTCCATTTTTCCCCAATTTTATAATACTGTCTGTTTTTATAATAATTTAATAATAATAAAGTTTTTATAACAACTTTATAATAGTGTTTTTTAATAGGCCAGGGTGACAAATGAGCACACAGTCCACCTGATGGTAAGTGGTTGCTGTGGCCCATAGACATCTTCATCTAACCTTGATTACAAATCAAAATGCAGATGCATTGTCACCCATGACGACTAAGATGGAATGCCTCATTACCAGTAAAATAGATCTCCGGTTCTTTACACTCATCATACCAAACACAGCAGCATTAGGCTACTATTTTACGCTGGTATTCTGTAAGAGTGTGGTCCTTCCCTGGTCGAGCCGACCCATTCCTGCTACAACCAATCTCAAAAAATACTATAATACATAAATAATAGAATGGGGGAATGGGCGGAGCCCATGTAGCCACTAAGATGTCAATTCACACCTATAAATGTCAACATAATCAATCGTTTTCAATTTTCGTGTCAAGCATTGCTGCATGAAAATATTTAAAAAAAACCGGCCAAGAGCGTGTCGGGCCACGCTCAGTGTAGGGTTCCGTAGTTTCCCGTCCGTCACAATAAGTGTTCCCACTTATGAGTTTAAAGGTGGGTGTCCATTATGTTCGCGCTCCAGCAGCGCTCCGCGCTCCTGCAACTGCTCCCGGTAGTGGGTACGTGCGCGAACATGGAGCGTGCAACATTGCACGCTCCGCGACAGGCGATGCCAAGGAGAGACCAACCGAACAATTCGATAATACCCGACCCAGTGTAATAAGTACCTACAGCGCCATCTCTCGGGGAATTGGGTTACTAATTAATACATAGACGTGCCAGAAGTTTTCGGTGGTAATTTTGGATAATTTTTTAATAATTCTTTTTTTTGTTTGAAAAAAGATACGTTCAGGATAATAAAATATGTAAACGAAGTTAAAAAAAATGCCTGCTTAAACGATTATACTACAAACTTAGTCCAGAAATTATTTTGTACAACTTTTTATCTTTTTTTGTACAAAAACTGTTTCTATCCAGGTTCAAAATAATTTTCCTAGAAAGTACTTATAAAGTTCTACCTTTCAGATTTTTTTCATATTTTCTAAACCTATGGTTCAAAAGTTAGAGGGGGGGGACACATTGTTTTTTACCTTTGGAGCGATTATTTCTGAAATTATTGACATTATCAAAAAATGATTTTAGTAAACCCCTATTCATTTTTAAATACCTTTCCAACAATATATCACACGTAAGGGTTGAAATTAAAAAAAAAAATCACTTCCCACTTTACATATAGGGGGGCTACCCTAATAAAACATTTTTTTCCAATTTTTATTTTACCACTTTGTCGGCGTGATTGATACACATATTGGTACCAAATTTCAGCTTTCTAGTGCTAACGGTCACAGAGATTAAGCGAGGACGGACAGACGGACAGACAGACATGGCGAAACTATAAGGGTTCCTAGTTGACTACGTAACCCTAAAAATGGCTAATTGCGCAATAATTATGTGTCAAAAGAATGGCGAGAAATAGAATTTAAATAAAGGAGTCATATCCTACAACCAGTAACTCGAAACTATTTATTTTTTGTAAATATTAGAAACAAAAATAAAGAAATATTGATGTATCAAAAACATAACCAAAAGTCTAAAATGTGTAAATTCGCTCAGTCTCTCAATACAATACAGCAAATCGGGTTTTGTAGTAGTGATAATATGACCTCATACAAAATAGGGTTGACAGCCATTCTATTGTGTATTATAGTATTCTATGACTATACTACTAATATAACTACAGCTTGGCACTACCATGTTGAAATTTATAATTTGTATTGTTGAAATTGGCAAGTTGTATTGCCTGCAAAAACTGACCAACAAAACTTTAACTGAACTTTTGTGTGGTTTTAACAACTTTCCATTGACAGAAGGTATTCTAGATATATTTACTTTTATACTTCACTTTTATATTTAGAAATTTTATCATCATCAGGTCTCCCCACACTCCACAGTCAGGTTGGCAGCTACAGTTTTTTAATGATATAAAGGTGACAAATGAGCACATAATCCACCAGATGGTAAGTGAATACTGTGACCCATCTACATTTATTGTCAATTAAGAATCAAAATGCAGAAACATTTTCCATTATATTGAGTTTGTCAGGAAAATGCTGGTGTCCATCTCCTATTACTAAGATAATATGGGTTACTGTAGGGCTGCCATCCGTCCAGGTTTCCCCGGATTTGTCCTAGTTTGGAAGACATCCGGGGAGCATCCAGGCGGGGTTTAAATAAAAATAAAAGTCTGGGTTTTGGTATTTCTTTAGATCAGATCCCATTTAATTTTATTAACTGAGTAACTAATATTGGGTTTGTTTATCTTTTATTTAATACCGAAGAAGGTTGAAAAATAAAGCAAAATTACTCGCTTGTCGTCACAAGAATGATTAAACACACTATTTCATGCAACAAAAGAGGCTTAAAATTAACGTTTTCTTCCATCAAGTATGGAGTAAAATATATTTTATATATTTTTTAATCAAGATGTAAGTAAATGAAAAAAGTATTACTATGTCCGGGGTGAAAGCTCCAAAATCCGAGGAACTTACGCTTCCGGTCCTGGGAGCAGGTTTTAGAGATGGCAGCCCTAGGTTAGTGGAATCTATTACATGAAAATATTAATGTAAATGTTAACAAGAATTTTAAAAACAGTCACAAGTCCCTTGTTTGTAAAGGCAATATTTGTCCATTGTTAATAAAAATTTAGAATTTATTAGAATTTATTTTTCTCTACAATGTTCAAAAAATATTGTGTTACAAATGCAAATTAACTAAGCCAGTTCCATAATAGTTATTCATAAATGTTCCATATTTATTATTCATAAGTGGAAATAATTAGACAATTTTTATTAAAAATAATACAAGGCAAATTCTTCAAAAATGAAAAAGTTTCTCTGTCTCAAATGTCGGTAAATATTAAATAACTTTTAAACTTATCATAGCGGCAAGTCAATAACTGTTTATGGATGAAAATTATAAGCACAGTAGTACAAAGGTGAAAGGATATAACAATAAGTTATTCCACGTAGAAAACACCGTTATACATCAAAACAAACCAACCTCAGGGAAAGAGATAGGCATAAAAAATAATTGACCGAGTTTAAGTAAAGGCCATTGGGTTAGGGTGAATGAATATAGCAAATGTCTAAATGTACCTATATTAAACAAGATCAAGGTCTTCTGAAAGAATTATACAAAAAATGCCAAATATCATAAAATTATGAGCGGAATTTTTATATACGATAGACTAATTTATGGTAAATAATCATTTTACTTACATATTTGCGAGTTTATGAAAATGAGGGAAAAATAGATGAACACGTTCTCAACTATTCGAAACATCTTTATTTTTCATTTTTACCACTAAACTGACATTAAAACTATTTACGCCATTTTCGTCTGTTTTCGTCATAGATAAATAAATATGTAGCAAGCCGTAGAGCCGTAGATAGATAATATTAAGGTAGCAAACACAGACTAAAAATATAATATGTTTATTTTGACCAAGAACGTAGACAGAGAATGCTATAGACAAATTGATATCTTTTGCCGCAGTCACACAAGAGAAAGGGCAACTTAGGCCGAGATCTTGTAAAGAAATGAAAAAGAACGTTGAGATTTTTTGTTTCGCTGAGCTAGCGTGCAACGTTTTTCAAGGTTAGCACCATTGAGTTTTACAAAACTAGAGGAGCAAACCACATTACCGATTGTTGAAAAAAGTGTAACCACTATCCAACCGCAACGACGTAGCTTTGAAATTAATAAAATTTTTAAATAAACATGTATCTGTCTCACTTACACAAGTTACGAAAACGATACCGTTGCTAAGATTAGATTAAGATAGACACACAAACATGCAATGGCGAGTTGGTGTGGCTTACTATATGAAATTTTACACAGAATACGCAGTAAAAAGGAGTTTTTTAAGCTCCAGTTATTTTTTTTTATTTTAAAAAAGTTTATTTTCTTATCAGATGAATAGAAGTAAGCATAACTGATGAAATAAAACATAATTTATATTTTTTTACTGTACTAATAAACCAAAAAATATAAAATAGGGAATATAATTAATATAAAATAGATAATAAAATATATTTAAAAGATCATTCATGTATAAACTAAAATAAGAATAATTAATTATTTTGTATGAAAGTTAAAACGTGGTTTTTATTATAATTTACCCAAAATATTTAAAATCTAACGTAACAAATGATTTATATAGTCTCCCCTCTCCATATAATGTGGAATAATCACTAAGGTGGAAAAGTGGCAACATTGAACCTAAATCACAATATTTGATAATATTATTTAATTATTTGAGGTTTTTACATTTATATGAAAATATGAACTAAAACGTACGTGTGAAAAGTCATTCCGCTTGATTTATTACGTTTTTTTGCCCTTGAATCGCATTCTTTCACTACGCATTTAGATACCCATTTTTTGTCGCGAATCGTTCGGCTAAACTCTGTCGGCGCCACATTGTACTAGGCTAGCTAACTAGGCATATGGCAGTGGTTGCCACAGCCATATGCCTAGTTGACGCCGGACTTTAGCGCGGTAATTACTAATCTAAATCAATGGTTAGCACAATACTTTGCTAAACAAAGTTTGACAGCTAACGTGTAGCGAGATATCGTCTTTTATCAAATACTGTTTTACGTGCGTTTTATAAAAATAGTATATAATGTACCCTCGACTTAAATTTATCGTTAAAAAGTACAAAAATAATAATTGTAACTTTGAACCTAAATTCTTTGGTGTTCCTAATATTCTACAAATTATTACACACTATTTTAGGAAATAATAATATGTATTCTGAGGTGTCTATAAAATAAATATCTGAAAGATTTAATGGCTTGTTGCAGTTTTCCTGAACATGATAATTTACGTCGGTATTGGATTGTAGCTACAGGACGAACATATTGGACACCAAAACCGTAATCAGAAATAAAATGTTAATAGAAAAGAAAATATTTACTCTGCTAGTAATTTAGTTAATGACATATTAAGTTTCGATCCAGGTTTAACAAGATTTTTATATATTTTTAGTGTTTTAACCACTTTTTATTACAATTATCGTGTTAGATGCAACATTATTGTATTAGCAATAAATGACTGAGATAGGCTTATGCAATGAAACATTTACACTAGTGAAAGACAGATTTAACTCAGATGATCTGAGTGTACGTGTACGCCCTGAATACTCGGAATACCGCAATTAGAACACCACCGCCATCTAGTTTATTCGTACTGATACGATCACGGTCGTACCTGTACATAATTTCCGTAATCAGCCAAGTCTTGGTGTGTACGTTGATATCATAGTTACTGTTTAGAATGATCATATATAGTGTGTGCAATTTTATTCGGAAAAATCTACAATTTTGATAGTATAAGGAATATTGCTTTCTACCTATTCTTCTAAATTTTTATACGTGGCCGAGCCATGCTGCAGTTATATTAGTAGTATAGTTGTAACAAGAATGGATCGTCTCAACCGGGGAAAGACCACGCTCTTACAGAATAAGTGTAATGTCTATTTGATTATTAACATTTTCGCTTACGATGTTCAAGTCTTTAAAACAACAATAAGAATAATTTATTTTATTATGGTATAATATACCAGTCACGCAGCAAAGACTAACCTCCAATTCACCGCGATTAAACAATTTAAAATATATCTTCGAAAAGTTAATAAGAATTACAAAAACATGTATGCAAAATAAAGAAATCAAGAAAAATTTATAATTATTACTCCACACTTTATCAGCCCACCGGTTAAAATATTTTGTTGATACGTATACAACGTAACAACTATACTTACACCTGTTTTATTAAAGGGCTGACATATTTATGATATACCTACTCATAAATTTTTAATTTGTTTATAATACTACAACAGACAAGTAACACATTATCGTAGTAATTAAAATTATTGAAAATTTTGTAACTTATCAAAGTGTAACAACAGATGGCGACATAGAGGTCAAGATGATTACATAATAATAAATAAACCTAGGATCAACATACAATTTATTTAATACAAGTAGATTTATAAACTTATAATTAAACTGAGTTTTACAACAACATTTTTCGGATTTGTTTGACGGTTAGCATGGGGAACTCTATGGATTGACAGAATATCTCTCTGAGAAATTGGAAAGTTAATTGCCACACTAATTGATCCCATTATGTTCAGCAAGTTTTCACTGCGAGTTTCAGGAATGTTACAGATTTCGATGTTGCATTGTCTGGCTTGTTGCTCTAGGTAATCGATTTTAGTTTTCAAGATGCTAATAGTTAGGCTGGATTGTTCAGTAGATTGACGTATTGCGTCATTCGCTTTTTTTTTTTGAGATCATCTTATTCCCCGGAAATAAACTGCATGGATCCTTTTTATTCTGAGACATCATGGGATATATCAGTAATTTTATGCTTTAGACGCTCATGTTCAGCACAAAGGGTGGAAATCTTCTACCTGAATCCATTCAAGGCCAATTTAAAATCATCATTAAGTTTAGTTATACTCGCCTCCATCTCATCTCGCTAGTCATGTAGTGAACTCTTGATATTCTGATCTTCTTACCATCTGTCAAGTTTCATATTCCTCTACAAGATGCAGGGGTATACAAGCTTGATTGTGAATGTTGTCTCTTATACATAAGGCAAACAAATAGATCAATTAGAACCCACGTAAAATAACATAAAGCTGACGTGAAGCATCTACGTTCCGGGAAGTCTGCATGCATGCATGATTTGATAAACCACAAATCCTCGTGAAAGAACATCGATTCCTACCAAGGATGATACGTGAGGCTATTGAAAATAAAAATCATCCTAATTTGAATAGAGAAAAAGGCTGGGTACTGCCATCTGCTTGGGATCCATGCAAGACTTCAAGACACAGTAAGTTCATTCTGGGTAGATCAGACCATAAATAATAATTAAAAAGCTGAAGGTACTCTGGGTTAACTTTGACATCGGAACGTCAGTCACCTCAGACCCCTGACCATGGGTGCTGAAAAGCGCTCGAAACGTCGGGAATTAAAATTCATTTAAATTAAACGCCATAAAATCCGTAAAAGTAGTTTTAATCCATAAATATTTGGGTGTAAAAATAATCTAAAAACTGACACATCGGTCCTCTATTTCACAATCATACTAATTACGGCAAACAGGTGGTGTAAATAGCACTATAGTGCACAAAACATAACACACAAAGTAATATAAGTTGTAAAGTCATTGTAAAAAATAGTGTTTATGTACTAAAATATCCGGACAAATTTTGGGCCGGCAAAATTTGAATAGCCTACTGGCGGCAAAGGTCTGAATCCGCCACTAGTAATAACAATACTTTTCATTATTATCATTATTCTCCCCACCAAATATCTCCCTTAATTTCTTCATTAGGTGTCATTCTGCATTATATGTTTTTATTAATTATTTTTATCGTTCTCTCATCCAAAAATGCAAACAATACGTCAAATAAAATATTTAACACTTTTGCAATAAAATTTTCCTTACACTATGTTACGTTAGTAGGGTTATATGTTATCATTGCACTATGTTACATTTTGTTGAAATATTTATTTTATGAAGTATATATTGCTATTGATAGTGCTTTGAAATCATTTGGAATGATAACTGTATATATATTGTATGTATATTACAACAAAATTAAAAATAAAGCTCAGTTTAATTTTAAGTTTATAAACATACATACTTGTATTAATAAATTGTATGTTGATTTTTTTGCGCCCGAAGCAAATATGGGCAAATATGTATGTTGATCCTAGGTTTATATTAATATGTAGTCGTCTTGGCCTCTATGTTGCCATATGTTGTTACACTTTGATAACTTACAAAATTTTCGATCATTTTAATTACTACGATAATGTGTTACTTGTCTGTTGTAGTATTATAAAAAATTAAAAACTTATGAGTATATCATAAATATGTCAGCCCTTTAATAAGACAGGTGTAAGTAGCTGCAGACATGACGTACGAAAGAAAATCGTATCTTTATAATAAGATACTTGAATTTGTAAGTGAAGAAAATGTTAACGAACCATGCTCATTCCAAATTCCAAACGACTGTTCCATCAAATGATGATGCATGCATGCGAAAAGGCATCAGTACCATAGACCACATACATACCCTGCGGCAGATTGTACGGAAGACCGAAGAGTACAATCTGCCACTTTGCCTGGCGTATGTTTACTATGAGAATGCCTTTGATTTCGTCAAATTTGGGCGGTGCTACAGTCCCTGCCGCGATGCCAAGTTGAATGTCGGTATATCGGAGAGCTGAAGTGTTTGTACAGTAGGGCTACGATGG